ACAAGAGTGAAACTCCGTCTCAAAAAAAAAAAAAAATTCTTTTATTTATTTATTTATTTATTTATTTTGAGACAGAGTCTCATTCCTTCACCAGGTGCCAGGCTGGAGTGCAGTGGCACGATCTCGGCTCACTGCAACCTCCGCCTCCCGGGTTAAAGCAGTTCTCCTGCCTCAGCCTCCCAAGAAGCTGGGAATACAGGCGTGCGCCACCACGCCCAGCTAATTTTTTGTATTTTTAGTAGAGACGGGTTTCACCATATTGGTCAGAATGGTCTCGATCTCTTGACCTCGTGATCGGCCCGCCTCGGCCTCCCAAAGTGCTGGCATTACAGGCGTGAGCCACCGCGCCCGGCCTCATTAAAAATTCTTATAAAGAACTTTTACTTAGTGCAAACCTAATCTACGCTTTTGAAATTTCAAAAGCGACACCAACACCTGATCTAACTGCTCAAATGAAATCTGTGAAAAAACAGAGCCACCACGTTCCAACATTAGCCAGCACGCCCAAAAAGTGCATCTGCTTTCTGTTGAAATGAAAGTCAAAGGCTGTCAATTGCTACACCTTCCAAGGCAAACTGGAAGCCAAATTCTTTTTAGAGTTTGATACGGGTGCCAAATCAGAGAAGAGAAACAAAAGGAAGCAGGTAAGACCACTTTTAGGAGTCACTAAAAAATATCACTGCTGGCTGCTGCAACAAATGTTTTGCAGACCTAAGCTCACCACAAGCCTTATTTATTTTTGGTGGCGGTGTTGGGGGAAGGAGGAGAGTAAGCACAGAAAATTATCAAAAGGTAAGTGAATCTTCAAGTTCATCTAGCTAAACACTCTCCAAAGGAAAGGGTTCCAGTACCCCAAAGGTTCTCTTTTCCGGATCATGAGCTACAATACAACCAAAAATAAGGGGTAGGGATGGCGAAGAAACGGCGGAAAGGCGATCTTCTGATAAGGCCTGTCGACGGTTGCAGCGTTCCCCCAGGTCGCCAACAGCCCGCCAGTCCCTCCGCCCCTCTCCCCCGCAAACCCCAGCCTCGGCTGAGGCGCGCAAGCGCAGCAAGCAGGGGCTGCGCGTGGCGACGCGCAGGCGTAAAGTGGGTAGAAACAATGAGCTTTGTTGCCGTGGCGGTGGTGGGGGGCAGGGGAAAGGGTACCCGGCGGAGGGAGAAAGGACCAGAGGAATGGGGCACAGGGGCAAATGCTATCCCGGCAACCCTCGCGCCACCGAGGACCCGGATAGAGAGCTGCGAGATCCAAATCACAAATAATGACAATGAAAAAAAAAGCGACGGCCATGTCTCAGAGAAGAGGGAGACAAAATCGGCCCAAGCTCATCCCTCAGACTTGGTGCAAAGAGGCAACGAACAACGGAGGCCGCAAGGGACTCGGCGGCCAACCACCCAGGAAACCCTTTAGGCCCCTCTGCCGTCGCCGAGGTGCTGTCCCTCGACCGCCGCACCCTTGTCGCCACTCCGCCCGAGGGGATCCCTCACCCAGTGCACAGCAGCGGGGACGGCAGCCAACGAATCCTGTCGGCCTCCGCAGATCTCCACAGGCAGCGCCGCTCCCCCGCTCGACGTGCGCTTAGCCCGCCGCCTCCCTTCTCCAGTCCAAACAAACACCCCAGCCCGGAAGTGACTTCACTTCCGTCGCCGCCAGCCCCGCCCTCTTGTTCTGTCAGCTCTGCCCTCCGAAGCCACTAGAGAGCGCGCGCGAGAACGCGCGACCCCGAAGGCTTAGTCTCCGAGGCTGCACACATATGCACGCGCAAGGCCTTTCCAGCGCGCCCCTGAGGACGGCTTCGGGGTGTACCAGGAACGCTGTCGCGCGTTCTCTCTTGGGAGGTAGGAGTCGGGGCGCGCCACTGTCCATACACATCTTTCCAGAATGATGGGATGCGATGAGGGAGGGAGCTGGGAACTGAGGAGCACCCTGACGATATACACACACAGGCGTGGACTCTTACAGACGACACACACACACACACACACACACACCCTAGAAAGTAACATTTAGATAACGACATAACACGCAGACACCCATACCGCAAGAATGATACACAATGTCACACTAACAGCGACATGCACCGAGTCACAGCAAGATCCTGACACAGAAACATGATAAACTAAGGTAAATCACAGAGGCGTACTAAATGATATGCAAGTCCCCGCACTCAGACACGTGCAGGCACAAAAACACACTTTTTGAAGCTGAAAGCAAACGCAAAATACAAATGGATGGTTCCCAGACAACCTGTGCAAGTTTCTTGGTGGCTAAGGAGGAAATACCCTGTCCAGACAGGATAGAAGGGTGTGACCTCCGGGTTCATGAATTTCCTTGTCCACGATCCTGGGTGCACTGGCCCCAGTTATTCTTACCTATGCTTCCTTCTTGTCATCGTTGACAAGCCCCAAGATATATTTCTAGTGACACTAAGCAATACAAAGAAGAGAGTATGTGTTTTACAAATCTGGATGTTCAAATATGTCAACATGATATCTTTTAAAGGGGGACACAAACTAATTTCTTCCCTTTGGGGAGGGAAAATGAAAGACTAGGAAATGGGTGCAAATAATTATCTTTTTACTCTCCTGAAAAAATTGAATCTTTTAAAAACCACATACTTGCCGGGCGCGGTGGCTCACGCCTGTAATCCCAGCACTTTGGGAGCCTGAGGCGGGTGGATCATGAGGTCAAGAGATCGAGACCATCCTGGTCAACATGGTGAAACCCCGTCTCTACTAAAAATACGAAAAATTAGCTGGGCATGGTGGCGCGTGCCTGTAATCCCAGCGACTCAGGAGGCTGAGGCAGGAGAATTGCCTGAACCCAGGAGGCGGAGG